AAAAAATCCAGTTTTGAGCCCCAAAATCCAGCTGAAAATCCAGTTTTGGCCCATTTCAGTTGTCACATGTATGCTAGTACTAACTTCCCCTAGAAAAAATATTAGATTGTACCTGTCTTAACGCATACATGCGATTTATTTCAAATTTGTACTGTATACACTATCTCCGGCGGACATGTTATGACGTCATCGTAAAAAATCGATTCCGTGAAAGCTGGTAGTAGCAACCAGTGTGTCTAGCAGGTAAGTGTGGGTTACGCATGAAGATTAAACTTAAAAAAATATCGGGGAAATAAATCTATTCATTAGGCCAAAAAAAAAAAATTGTTTGTTTAGGGTAACCTTCCCAAAATTGCTAGGTAGGGTAGGTAGGGATTTTTTTTTATTTTTTTTTTTTCAAAATCAGTCGTAAGTTCATAGTGTTTTCTTGCACATGGCAGTCTTTCCTACACTACTGACATTGCTTGACTTTGTATTATCATATTTTATCATATAAACAATAATTCTGATTAAAATCTGCATAGCTTTAATGCCATTTAATGTTATTTCAATATTGAATAAAGACAATATACCCAAACATGTGTTAATTTTGATGTTTGTTTGCTACAGGCACTACTTTAAAGTTTGACTCTAACCTGAACAGCAAACATTGCAGATTCTCATAAGCTTGCATGGTTGCAATTCTGCTGATCTGAGTCTACATTGGTTGCATGGTAGGAGTTAAGCACAATAAAAGACCTAAAATGACATGCTGTGATCTGGCTTTCAAAGTTTCAGTTAAAAAATCTAGACTTATTCTGTTTTTCACTATTTGATATTCATGCATTAAATACTGCACATTTCATTGAATTAACAATTTTGAAGCTCTTACAGTATTACAAAGTTTATATTTTGACACTGTGGTACAATTTAACAAAATCTATAATTCTGAATTGCACTTTTGATACACTGGTTCACATAAAAAGTGCAAACACTTCTATTTGTAAAATGACACCCTTGTCAATCAAATACTATTTATTTCTATCAGATACATGTATATCAACATATCAAAGACAATAGCCAAGCTTTTTGATGAATTGGCATTTTGTAGATGTCATTCAAAGTGTCGTCTCATAGTTTCCATGGCCCATCTGAAAAAAAAAGCAAAGACTAGGTCTCAATAACACATGGAAAATGGGATACATTTGTGACGGTATGAAACAAAATGATGCACAGTCGAGTCAGACTCCAAGTCTGGTAAAAATTTGTTTCAGTATGCAAAAGAGGATGAAAAATATACTGGAAAAGCTTTGCAGATCTCCAGAATAGCTATGTACATATGACCTGCGGCTATACTTTATACTCAAGTGCACTTAGTCTTGATTTTCAGTGGGACCAGGGTCTCATTCATTTTGAAGTGTGGCACAGGACATATCAAAACAGCTTTTCAAATTTTTAAATATTAAAAGAAATAAAAAAAATAGTGGCATTGATTTGAACTAATATGTGTTAAACCTTGTTATTTATGCAATAAAATATCAATATACTAAAAAAAAAAAGAAATTTCACTGACAGGTATGCATGATCCGAGTACGAAAATTATGGGTATGTTCGTTCTCGGTGTCAAAATTTTCCACCGGCAGGTAATATCGTCGGATTTTCGCATGGAAACAATGCAATATATATTTTCTATCAAAATTGTCTATGAACAGATCCTTATTTACACGTAAATTTACCACAGTAAAGCCAGAAAGTCAGAAATCACCCAGGTCCGAAAGATGAGACCGTCATGACATGTACATTGTAGCCTGGTATTTACGCTTGAAATACTACATCAACAAAGAGATCAAACGGGTCGAACACACATGCTAACAACTGGATTTTACATACTTTTAAATGGTTTTATCCTCCACGAGTGACACTAAGTCCTATGTGCCTGTATTTTAAGAAAAAATCTTCATGTATAAGAAATTCCTAAATCGGAAGTGTTTTCCCGCAACACGTGCTTGGTACCCTGTTCCGCTCTATGTCAATGTATGTAAAACGGAAGCCGGAGAATACTTCCGGTAGGAATTACCTTCTAAAAATATCGTTGTCATGTAGAATTTTTGTTTCCAATAGCGTGATATTCATTGGACCGCAATACAGCACGAACCAATCAAAACACGTATAACTAAAAATGAGCGATCCAAATCGTCTGAGAGTTTTACGACAGCGTCTCAAGTGTTCAATTCGCATTTATCCGCCCTTTGAAACTCTCTATTCGCTAACGAATATATTTTTTTTTTTGTTCAGAAACGGAAAAAAATAGTTAGGGTCGGCGCATTTTTATAGGTAGGGTCGGGTTACCCGAAACAAACATATTTTTTTTTAGGCCTTATTTTTAAATAAATTTGTGCATTATTAAATACTATTGAAAAGTATCAATGTGTTCAACCTAAAATACAATGGTAGCAAATAGGCTCCGTACAAGTACTGTTGTTTAATATTTTTTAAATGTTTTAATACATGTACTCAACATTTATCAATAGATGGTTTGCCTTCTTGTTTACTGCTAATGACTGCCGATAAAATACTGACTTCATTTATACATGCATATTTAAATGACAATTAAGAATGTAAAAGAAATAAAGGAATTCTTTTTCACCTATTGCCTATATATATTATAATACCATATTAAACCTACTGATAAAGTTAAATGTCTTCTTGACATACTTTATTAATTTACTAAAAAAGGAACTTTATTGTGATCCAGCCATATGCTCTGTAACTTTAAGGGAAAGGTCACATATTTTAATTGAAATAAATTTTAAGTAGAGGATATTCAAAAAAAGTCATTGAGAAGATAAGAATTTTCAAATGAACATATTAAGAGACTTATACATGTATAAGGTGTATGTCTTGTTGTTTCATACTGTTTTGGTGACACTTTTGTTTGTGTCCCTTGTTGTTTTCTCGTCTATGGTAAGTATCTTCCCTTCGCCCCTAGTTTTACTTCTTTATTCCGCCCCCTCCCCCTTCCCCGAATTTCCTATTCCCTACCACTGTGCCAGTTTACTTAATGGTCCTATTAATCATTCATTTATTTATTTTCTTTGATTTCCTTGTATGTTACCATTATTTCTTTATATTTATCATTTTGTATCATTTTAGTGATAAGCCAGACCGTGCTCTCTCTTGCGCCGTCCTGTTTTTGTTTAGGATCCTCCTGGGTTCCTTGCAAATGGTTCTTGTTCCTGGGTCGTGCGGGGGTTGCGTTCATTGAACGCGGCCTTTCCTTGTTCATCTTGTTTATCATATTTTATACTTGTATACCAAACCGAACCATAACAAACAGATAATGATTATCAATACAAGGTTCGACAAGCAAGCAAAGAAATGTAAAGAAAACAGAAAAAACTTATCCACATATCCGCCCTCCAAAAAAAAACACCAAAAAAACGCCTGAAACTGCAAAACCGAAACATAAATACACATGGGTGCCAAAGACGGCTCTGGTAGGTACATGTGCTCCCTTGCGCCGGTTTCAACAGAATTCATCACTTAAACATAATAATGTATAAATTTTAATCAACATCCACAGATGTGTACAAAATACGGCGGTAATCATGGAACTTTCAATGCAACACATTGGAGGTGCCGTTCAATGAAAAGCGGGAACTAGATAATATGGAATTTTAAATGGATATAGGTTTTGGTGTCATTTTGCGACAGTCGTTCTAACAGACGACTACAGTTATCTAATCAGACTATTTCTCCCATCTGTCTTACATTGTTATGCTATTCTATGTCTTAAATTAGGGTCACTAAATTTCCGCTTGCTGCGTTTTTTATCATAAACCCCGTCATATCTGTTCGACAATTGCATTTTACTGAGGACTGTCTGAAATTCCATTTTATAGTTTGAAATTTTAAGAATTTTTTCTCAGAATTTAAAGTTATTTTTGGTTGTTTTGAACTTCTTCCCCTACACAACTGTCATCATTTTTTTTAAAGATAATAAACTAGAAATTTGTAGGGAGTTTAATATAAATTGAAATTCTTCTTTGCTTCATCATGTATAGTATACTTATTATTCATTAAGATGTACCTTCAATTACATTGTATTTTCATATGTGCGAAATCATGGCAGGGTTATAAAATAAAAAGGCAGTTCAGAAATTTCACCTCATGATCACAGATGTTAAAAAATCCGACATTACAATTTCTAATTTGACAATTTAAATGGACTTTTAAAATGCAGTATGATTTGACGTCGGACATCTAAGTAAGGTTATCAGAATATCCTTTTCACATTTTATTTTTAATGCTGAAATATTCTTGTGTGAAAAAAAAAGTTATTCCTGCATTATTCATAATAAATAACTTAAACAAATCATATTATAAAGCTTGACAAATACAATCGATTGCCGCCGATACCTGTGTTACACCATGGAAATTTTACAATTTTACCCTGTCACCGCTTGCGTCATTTTCCAATATGGCCGCTTACAATAATTTTCAACGATTTAAAAAGTTAAAGTTGAATATTTAGACTTGTGTTCGACTTTAAAGTATGATAACTTGGAACCTTGCATAAAAAACGGTTCTCTTTCAGGTAATGTAGACCGTTTCTTTGAAACTTTTTTAGTTTTCGCTCCCAACAACTTCTAATTGGGAAGCGTCCGTGCATAAAAATGCAGTTCGTGGTTGGACTTGGAAAAAGACAGCGCCCGTCCAAAATTATCTCGGTGTCTCTTTGACAAGTCTAATAAGTTGGACTAATGAGACACCAGCAGAAATGTCTGCCAGAAACTATGCTTTATAAACACAGTTGATGACATGATAGAAAATGTTAGTGAAAATTGACCAGCTAATGAATCAATGAAAGGTTTGAGATTATGTTGGGTGTGGATTTTTTGTATCGCGAAAACATATTACAAAAGTAGAATACACACACAATTAAATCTTAATCAAGTATAAAGGCTACAAGCCAAAAATATTGATATTCTTAACAAACTGCGTGAAAAACATATTCTTACACCCATCTTTTCTTCTTCTGTTGATACTTTTTTTCTTTTATTTCAAGAATAAAAAAAATTCCCGCGATTATTCATTGAAGAGTATTTTCTGAGATAGTAAGATTCG